ATTAAACGGTTATTCATCTGTACATGATTGCGATCCATCGAATTTTATTTTATCTTTCCAAATTTTAATAATTATAAATCGAATATTAAGAAAGCTTCTACGTGTCTTTAAAATAAATCGACACTCGACTTTCTTCGACTCACTGTGATGCCGCAAAACGAATCTCGTCACAACCTTCTCCTCCTTCCATTCTCGATCCTTGCCATTTTCGCGACACTTGTCACGTTTTATCCGTCCAATGCGTTTCGTCGTTGAACAACACCGAGACTGAGACGCCGAGCCACTGCACCGTCCAACTCAAGTTCAACACTGAAGAAGCGACGAAAAGCGTATTCGGTGTCGACGGCGAGGTCAGGTTTTAAGGTAAAACCGGAGCCAGCCTTTGTCAGAGAAACTGGACGAATTGAATCGCGTAGTACGCGAGTGCTCTCTTACATCATCGGAAGAGCTGGTTTGTCCTTGCTCGCGCGTTTCGCGTTTCAAGCCTTTCGATATGGATTCGTCTCGAGACCATCTCAAACGCGTTTGCGTAATTTTAATATTGCGAATATTGTGCAAATTGTGGAGAAAATGGAGAATGTGGAGAATATGGAGAATTGAAAATTTCTTCTTCTTTTCTTTTTTAATATCGTAATTATAGAAAAATACGAATATTGCTCGAGATGATTGGTAATTATTAATATCGTGGAAAGTTTATGGAAAACGTAGAAAAATATAACATTAATTACAAATTAAAAGCGATAATGGAGAGAATATAAAAAGAAAGATATTAATTTGCAAATGTTCTCAAAATAATTTTCGTGTGCTATTATGATTTTCAGTAAAAAAAAAAAAGGTCAAATTTTGGATAGAATTAAAAAAAAGAATATTTGGAATAATAGGGATAAACGATTAGGCGAAAAATTAATCGAAAATAAAATAGGTATCCATCTATAATGATAAGTATCGTTCTGTACGTTCAAAGTGGTAATAAGTTTCGACGAGAGGAATCTATAAGGCGATAGGAAAGAAAACTGAATGACACGTGAGACGAGTTATGGAGGCTTGGCACACTACTATGCCGCTGTTGCATATATATCCTATATATCGTTACGTTACATAAGTAGCCGGTCACGAATTGTAATTATCAGCCGGCTTGTGCGAACTTTCTCCGCACGGTTTTTATCAGAATAAACACGATCTCTTATTGTTAATCCCGTTCTCAGCTATATAAATTCGAGATACCCTCTTTTACGTTATCCGCTTTAATTTCCAAACGTGGAACACGATTCTCAAACGCGATTTACGTAATTATTTTAAAATAACTTAAATTCTTACGTAAAAACCGTTCTTCTGAATATCTACGTATCATTGATTTCTTGTAACAACAACAACAAGGTAATCAACTATAAAATTTTACGTAAGTTAGCCTAATTATAAGAAATGAATTGCAACAATGAAATAAAAGAAGAATAGAAAATTGTTCGATCGTGTTCCCTTTTTTTTCTTTTCTTTTTTTTTTTTTCTTTTTCAATTATTCTAAACGAAAAAAAAGTTAGGAAGAAGTTGTTCACCGCAGAATCTTTCAATAGCAAAAATTTTTATCCCGAAATTTGAAAGTAATCAAATGCAATATAGCGTCTTCGATCTTGTCTTTCTGATTACAATGATATTTTTTACCTTTCCGGAAGTGGGCGAGGGCGATGTTGAGTTTAACCCCTGCTGTAGATGATACATTTTCGGGGCGAGCATAGACGGAGGTGCACCGAGGCTACCCGGGGCGACAGCCACGCTCGTCATGGTCGTTTCCTACGATGGGCGCAGTCCTCGGCTTCTTCCAACCACCTGTCCGCGACCTTCTGCGATCTCTGTAATTGGTCATCCTCGTCTCGCCTCTGAAACGCGAACATACGTATTTTGCATGAACTCGACTTCGATCCGAAACGAAATCGACAGTTATAGTTGATAAAATTTTAGTCAGCGAATATATTTTTCCTCGTAATCATCGTGTACATTATAACGAAATGTGTACAATCGACTGTGAGAAGTGTACTGTAAAGCGTAAAGCGTAAGTGCAATTTCAATTAATGTTGGGAATGAAAGGTTTTCATTTTTCATCATGAAACCTAAAGCGAGTACAGAGAAGAGAAATTGTCTTATGAATGGAAGAAGAGCGGAGAACGAAAGTTTGCCTCGTCTTTCTTTTCTTCGATGCAATGAGACAATACAAATACAGAATGGCAGACGGTTATAATCCTCGTGACCAGTAATTCAGAGTATTTTATAATTTAAAAAACGTGATTACTTTTCGAAATTGCTATTTTGTAATATCGAAATTTAAATGCATAACAAATACTAAATTCTATTTTATAGACAAAATTGAAAAATTAACGATCTTGATTTTCGCTATTATATTATTATATTGAGAAATTTCTGTAATTTAAATTTTAAATTAAAACCTAATCCTTTTCTTAAATATCAATTTCTAAAACTATGAAACTTTTCAAAATAATTTCCATCCCATTATGCTACTCAATTTTTCTTTTCCTTTTTTTGTCCAATAACGATCATTTAAATTCAAAAATTTCGTAAAATCGAGGCGGCAATTGTCGAATATCTCATAAAATCGTCAATCAACGATTCATTTTTTTCACGCGACACGTTTCTTCCAAGGGAATCTGTTAGAATTGTGATCTAAACTGAGATCGACCAACCCCCAACGAATGAAGCGCGAAGTTGAAAGCAAACGTCTTCTTTTTACGCACGTTGCCACGGGTATAGAGTCACACCGAAATGGCGATTCGTTGGGCAATCGTGTTTCGATCGTATTACGACACCCCACAATGGCACCGTGTAATTTCACTCTCGCCAGGAGATCGCAATTGCACAATTTTCGTCGCGCCAGACGAGACATTCGGGCGGACCTAGAAAGCGTCTAGGAAATGCTAATTCGCCAACAGTTGCTGGTCTTGCAGTTACGTGTACGAATACATTTTCGACGATCCGCAATGAATCGTGAACCTGTTCGCACTCGACATCGACGTGCGATACACGATACACGCGGATAAATCTCCCATAAATTTCCAAACTTTTCACTCGCACGAATCCTTAATTTTCACAAATTATCTATCGAAGGATTGAGAAATTTCTGTAATTTAATAAATTAATTTTAACGTAAATTAAAACCTTTTCTTAAATATCAATTTCTAAAACTATGAAACTTCTCAAAATAATTTCCATCCCGTTTATATTACGATACTCAAGCTTCTCGTTTTATTAATATACACAGTTCGTCGAAACAAGTGTGTGAATATAGAATATCGACGAGGAATTTTTCTTATTGAAATTTGATCAAATTAATCGGAATTAAATTTAGAAAGAGAGAAAGAGAGAGAGAAAGGGAGGAAAATAATACGCTTAGAATCGGTATAAACGTATAATAGATCCGGAAAGATTGGAAGGAAAGAATTCGAAACTTTTACAATGTAGGTTGACACACCTCTGGTATAAACTATATACTCTCGATACTGTTACCTCGCACGGCTAAGATTCATTATGATGCACCGGCATGCCGCCGACTGATTTTTATTTAAGAATCATCGTGACACGCATTTCATTCCGTTGATCTCATTGTCGATCCACATGGATTTATCTTATATTTATATTAACCTTCATTTATACATGGAATTCCTATTTTTTTTTCTCCTCTACAGGAGAATAATGTAATTCAAGAATGAAGTTTTACCTTCGAAAATATGATACAATTGTAAAAATAATCACTTTTATCTCGGTTTTATTATTAATACAAGATTATAAGACGTAAAATAGTATTATACGAGTTCTTTATTCTCAGAATAGAGAGAATTTTCAAACAGGATGGTGTGCGGTGAAACGCAACAAGGCAAAATGGAGTGGCGAGGCTGCAAGGCTGTATCCGAGAAAACAAAAGACAGGGTGCCGGACGTTGAGATTTTATTTTCATCAAGAAGAAATATCCATTAAACCAAAGAGAACATGATCTCGTTAGGTGGTTAACTGACCCGATAACGGTTCTCCAGAGAAACGGTTATCGACACGCGGACCCAGAGAAAACGGAAAGATAAAACGTAGAAAAAAGAGACGAGTAAAAAAGTGAAAAGGAGCGAAGGATGAAAGGCGAGCAGCGAAGAGAACAGAAGGCAAAACTTTTCTATGCTGTTCATTTTCATCGGGATAAATACTCGTACAAATCGCACGCTTTCGTTGAATTATAACGTTTTTGCGAAACTCGTCGAAACCAATTTCGTTGTTTCCTTTTTTCGTTATACACACACACCTATATTATCACGCTTCCACGTAGGAAAGTGGTAATGCAAATGAAAAGTGTTCCGTTCTTCCTGTTGCGCGCAGGTTTCGAACGGATAAAACCGATGCTTTCTTTGCAAACTTTATGCAAATTATCGTCTCGAAAAAAAAATCTCGTCCTCTCGAAAAATCTCTTTGTCTTGTTGTATCTCCATTTATTTACTTTCACCTTCACCAGTGAAACACCACTTCCCTATCCTGATAATATTCGTTTTCCATCAATATTAATATAACTCGTGATAAACGATACAAGCGAATACAAAGATGTGCTTAG